GAACGCGTGCCAACACCGTCATTCAGACAGATGATGAGAAATGTGAGTAGGAGCCTGAGCAGCAGGCTGTATACAAAAGATCTGATATCAGATTTGATATTTTAGATCGCTGCTATTGATTTCTCTCCTTTCATGTGTGTTTGCTTTGCTGTTCCGTTTCTAACAGGTGATAACTAGCACGGTGCGTTTTGGATGATATGTGAAGCAGAGGGGGGAAAAAGCAATTTCTTTTCAAGACCCACCATTGCACTCTGACTGGTTTCACAGTGAATTGGTTTTTCATTAATTTTCATTAACCTCCAGTTGTGGCAGAGATATAGTCAAATAGAGGTAATTAAAGTCCAAAAGCCACATGCTGCTTTGAGAGGCTAATGAAAGATTTATATTCTTTTCATCACATATTGAAATGTTTCTTTTTAAATTAAATCTCTAGTGAGATTGGTCATATAAAGGCTGGTGGGGAGCTTCTATTGTGTTGAGATCTTATTAAGGTTTAATAGTTTCATCCCAAAATATCCTGAGAAATTGATACTGTTTTTTTTTTATTGGATTTAGGTTAGCTTTGTGGTCAGACTGCAAAATCGCACTGCACAGAAACATACAATTTCTTTTCGTCTGCTTCTTTTACTGGCCTTTGCTATTTGCTGACTTTTGAAAGAGAGGTGTTTCTCAGCTGTGACACTCAGTCTTCTGCAAGGTTATTTTTGTGATGCAGTGTTGTTTGTTATCTGTCAGCAGCTGCAACAGCATCGTGTTCCCTTTATGTGTATCTGCACGTGTTTGTCTGTCATGGCAAAATGTGGTCATGGACTATAAACTTCATCAAAGCACTTTCACATGATAACTAAACAAGATGTACTGATGCTAAACCCTTACAGATATTTCTGGTCTGCTAGGCTGTGCAGTCTGGTGATTTGTTGTGATCATACAGAAGTTTGAGTTTACAGTCACCAGAGGCAGAACAGTTCACTTTGAATTCTTTAAATTTATGTATGACAAAGATATACGTTTTGTCCAGGGAATCGGCACAGCTAGAAACAGCAATGACAGTTTCCAGCAGTGTTAGTGCTGCTACTCTTTTTGATAGCCTCTTCTACTGCCACATGCTGTATATTCATGGATATTCATGGGGTCTTTGTCCCTTTTGCTGTTTTCCAGTTTTACATTCGCCCACTTAGCTTTTTAATTTGTTTTTAGCTTGTTGCTCTTTTGAAAGTCTGGCTGAATGTCGTTCTCACAGTGTACAGCTATTGCTTGATAACCCCAATACTTTACAATCATGTCCCATGCAGTTTTTTAAGTTTCTAAATATGCAGCATATAGAGAAGTAGTGGACTACCTAACATTACACCTTCTGGAGCTGTTCGGCTTTGGAAACCCATACCACAAAGCTCCCAGCACAGTTTTTCTGCTGATGTTAATGCCACAGGAGGTTTGGAACTCTGCAGCTATTGAGTCAGCAAAGTGTTGGCAACTTTTACAAACTATGCACATTGACAGTGGCGATCATGCTCTGTAACTTCGTAGTTAAGTTGCTGTGGTTCCTAAATGCTTCCACTTTGCATTAATGCCACTTTCAGTTAAAGATCTAGGAGGAAGAAATTTTATAAACTGACTTGTTGTAGTGGTGACATCCTGTTACAGTACTACGCTCGAATTCAGTGTGATCTATAGAATGACTCATTCATTTACAAATGTCTGAGGTGCTTTTTAAAATCTAGCTTAGCACTGCTATAAATGGACAAAGTAATAAAGAAATCCCTGTCAGTATAACAGTTAGACTGCATTATGTATTTATACTTTGCTAGTAAAAGGGCAGCGATTTATTGAAACATATGCAATAGAATGGAAATGCAGCATATAAGGCAAAAAACAGTAATTCTAAGAGCTTGAAAGTAAATATTTGGTATGACGTCCGCATATTCAGAGCTCTTATTTGGATGTTGGCTGCCTTTTGTTCCATTCTCTGTGAAGATGAACGTACACTGCTACAATATTGTTGAGGTTCAGGCTCTAGGGAGGCCAATCCAAGACTTAGTGTTCCACTGTGTGTTTTTCTATCCAGGTATGGTGTTTGGGATCATTGTGATGCTGAAAAATTAATCTCTTGACAGTCAGATGCTTTCCAGATGGTGTTGGATTAATACCATGGCTGGGTGAAGCAAAACATAGTGGCGCTGATGGTGCTTTTTTACCTTCAACATCCATCAGTTTTGAAATGTTCCCCAACACCATTGGCTTAAATGTTTCCCAAAAGTTCTACCTCTCTCCTGACCCCCTTGGGAAAGACTTAGAACAGTTTGAGCCAAGTATTTCAAATTTGGATTCATTGATTTCCAATTCTTGTGTAATTTGGCATACTGCAGTTGTTTCCTCGCCATTTCCTTCCTTAATAATGGCTTCTTGATATCCTGTGAACTAATTTCTGATGTGGATTCAGTGAATAGTAGGTGGATTAACTGAAAGGCCAGTTAATCCATGACAGGTCTTTGCTGGCTTTTTAAAAAGTTGTTAAGGACATGACTTTCAGATACTGTTCATCTGCAGTTGATAGGCTTTATTTAGTCGTGAACTTTTTCTTTTGCCCTCCACTCTTCCAGTTTCCTCATATTTGTTAAGGAAGCATTGCGCACAATGCTGAGATAGTTCTTTGGAAATCCCCTCGTCGGTACAAAAATACAATGCTATAAATGTCTAACTGTGTTAGTATATTTTACAGATTGAACTAATAAAATGGGCAGACTGCGCATAACAAACCTGAGATAGGTGCCTTTTAATGCTTGAAATATGCACAGGTCAGTGTCAAGAGGCTTAACAGACAAAAAATCATTCCTCTGAAAATGGTCAGGTATGAGAACTGGATTGAAAATTTGTGAAAAAATTCCAATATCCTGTCAAAAACCTTTGAGAATTTTTGCTCATGACCATTTAAAAAACATTATGAGAGAGTCTGGCTCATTGGCAGCAAAATATTAAAATAACGAGAGGTAGTGTAGGTGCACTAATGAGGTGGCAGTGGATTGTTAATTATCTTTACTGTTGTGGCAGTCTGTTCACTGGTGTAGTTTATGTTTCCAGAGCATACTGATGAGACTGTAAATTAACTGTAGGTACATTGTTTGTTCCCGGTTTTGCATTGCATACAATAACCCACCCTGCTCAGATTGCTTAGTCTGCAGGCATTTCACATTACAGGCCCTTGCCATATGGTGTTTGTCTAACTGGAAGGGTAAAGTCAATATGACACTGATACGTTTCTGCCTGTTTTATACTGTTGCAGTAATTCAAGGTGATCCACAAACTGTTTGGGGAACCGTCATTTTAGCTTGGAACAAAACTGAAAGGAGAGGAGACACTGAGTGGCAGAGTGAAAGGACAAACCGGTGCCAAGAGGGAATTGTCGGACTACCTGTGCTGAAAGATTTGTGTTGAATTAGATTGTATGAGGCCATTTAAAGGCTGATGTCAGATTTAAAAACGCCTGGTGAAATATAGGAAATGGTGATGGTACATTAATTTGTCCACTGAGTGATACATTGCTCGAAGAGGAGCATAAAAGTTAAAAAAAATGACAGAGAAATTACCAGCTGTCAAGGACAAGGATAAAAATAACATCTCCAGATCAGCCATTGGTTGTTTGCCAAAACTGGCAATATTACAGCATCAGTCAACATGAATACATATTGATTTTTTTGTCCCAAGAACATAGGCCTGCAGTGCTGTCCAGAGGTTTTAGGTACTTTAAGGTGTTTTCTTCCTTCCTATACGCAGTATCAATTTGGAGACATTTAGAGAGCACAAAACTGAACTATTCATTTACAAATATGATGCAAGGTAATGCTATGTGATGCAAAAAAACACTTCAGAATTTGAACCATGTTGTGGGTTATTTTAGGTCAGAGTTCAGCAATTAATGTTTAAGTATGAAACTGTTCATAATGATCCAACAGACAATGTGAATAACATGCCCAGAGTCTACTGTCCTGTAGTATTAATGCTAACCCACCATCTAGCTTTTCTAGCCAAACATTCAAACTAACCACAGAAATCAGACTTTCAAATCGAGGCAACATGCCACCGCAACAATTCCCCTTTGTCAGCTGAATGCTCGGCTCAATGCTGATTAATGAGCTGAGGTCAGAGCCTCCCCAGGAGGACGGTGCCATTATCTACAATACTGCGCTTGTGGGAATTTCTGAATGGAGGTGAAGCTAGGAAAAGGCAATCAGTGTTAATCGCAATGAAAGAGCACGCACTTTGATCTACGCCCTTCTTCCTTTCGCTCCCTTCGTCTCTCTCCCTCGGGAAATAAACAGATCCAGCAGAGACTAGTTAGGCCATGTTTAGTTTCTTTTCAAGGTTTTGGCTATCATTATGGGCTCATGAATAAAAAATATCCAGTAGTTTTTGACTTCTTTTTTTTGGCTGTAGGTTGCTTTTTCAGCCTGGGTGCAGTGAATGAAACTGAGTTACTTTATTCAGATGCTTTGTTCATCCCCATATCTTTCCGGATGTTTCATTAAGCCAGCTGCAGCGACTCATTATGTGTTTGTACAAATCACTGGGGAAATGGCTGTACTCTTATCAGGTTTTCTGCTTTTTATGGTCTTGTAGTTGTGCTGTTAAATCTTTAAGTAATGTAATCATTAACCTGTTAGCAGTCGGACGTACCGCCCACGGTACATTGGATGGTTTAGGGGACTAATTGTAAATTTGTAGGACTGCTAAGGGGTTAAAAGGCTTGAACAGTCCTCTGGATGCAGTATAACAATAAATAATTTATGTATGTATCTCCTTCGCTGTTTTAAAAATTAAACTATTAAAGCCTGACTCCAGAAGATATATTGTCAACACTGTTTGTGGTTCAGTTTTGTCGCACCTCTTCTCAAATAAGACCACAGAGGATGCCGAAACCTGGGAGAGCTTCATTAAACTGCAGCACCGAGTTTTCCTGCCTCGCTTTTGTTAATAGCATCCTTTCCCCTATTCATCTGTTTCAGGACTCAGATTCACTTCACAGTGGCCATTGATTTCACAGCATCAAATGGTGAGTGTTTCAACAACAACCATCGCCCTGCTCTGCCTCCATTTGTCATCTCATGTATAACTAGAAGATTTGCTATTATTCAAAGAGGGGCTGGAGTTTCCTCTCTGCCTGTGATCTCCCTTTTTTTTCAAGGTGTTCACATGTCAGACACTATTAAGCGCTCCTGCCAGCCTGCAATATATAAAACGAAAACTTTAAATCATATTAGTGATAATTAAAAAAGATGGTAGCTATAGTATATATACCCAAACATGTACAAATATAAAAATGCACAAAATCGAAAATCTTCAGTGGCCGGAGACCGTGGTATGAATAAAATTTGTGCGCTCGTGTACAATGAACTTGTGATCTTGTTGCCTGTGTGACGATTACTTCAAATGCAGCGACTGGGTTTGCAGCTGCTTGCAGTCAGTTGCCCTTTTTAAAGTGACTGGTGCATCAAGACAGCGATAAAGTGGCAATAAGCTGGAGTCAGTCGCTATCAGTTTGAAACTGAAGGGGTTCAAGTTGTAATTACATGCAATGTTTATGATAATAATGTGATTAACTGTAATGAATCCAGAAAGGTTGCAAATGTGTCATCATCTGTCACCGTTTACATACCCAGAAATTCACATTTACTGCTAACATTCAGTCAGAATCTCCGAACGCCACAGATTTGATACAGAAATTCAGAAATTTCACCACAAATAGTGACAAAATTACTTCAGGATGTTGATTTAACTGCAAAATGACATAAACGCTCTGCAATTTGCTCTTATTTAGGAATACAACCAGAATACAACCAGCTCAGTTGAGTTCCTGATGTGTCATAGATGTCTTGTGGTGCAGACTGACTGCATTTTGAGAGCAATCTGTCTGTGTTATAAATTAGTTCAACTCAATTCACTTGAATGTTATTTATATACCACCAATTCACATCAACAATTGCCTCGAAGTCCTTTTATATTCTAGGTCAAAGGCCCTGCAATAATAGAGAGAAAATCCCAACAATAAGTTGTACCACGTTCATAAGTGATTAAACTTCTGTTAAAAACGCCACTAGGTTTGCAAGAAACCTTAGATCACTCACAATCCTCAGAGCATTATTGCCACAGGCTTAGGGGGCAATTGCCAACATCACTAAGAGGGTAAATTTCACTGGCTGACTGGCCAGGTTGCACTCCCAGGTGTGTTGAGTCAGGGTTTTCCCCTCCCAAGCAAGAGGTTTCCAGGATGTGGATTTGAGGCAACACAGCGTGTTGGTTAAATAGCAGTTCATGCGAAAGTAACTGCTCAATAAACAACATTTTCCACACATAGTTTTGAGAGATATTTGCAGAGAGTGAAGTTAAAATAACAAACAGTTGAAATTTTGGAAAGTCTGTCTGTTCCTGATTGCTTGGCCGCTTGCGTGCACAGCTGGGATTCTTAGTTTCTTGGGCTGGCTTTTCCCATAGTGCCTCACACATCTTATGGCCTTCACTGTCACCAGATGTCAGCATAACTAAATACCAAGGGTAGATTTTAAACCAACGTGCTTCACGGCACCATCTGCTCCACCATCACTAACAAAAAACCAAGGGAATATCTTTTGGAAGAGCAATTTTTCATCCCTCCAGTAGAACTAACACCAAAGCACACAGAAGACACTTTATACCAGTGTTTATTTTAATTAGTTATCTGTCTCTGCATAATGTTTAATGGCATTGAAGCTTTAAAATATAAAAGTAGATGACCAGTCAAGCACAGATGCCAAATCCTCTCAGCTGAAGCGTCTTTTTTAGTGTAATCAAACACAAGTATTTATTGTGTTTCTGACGAACACTCATTAGATCCATCTGGGATAAGTTGTAATAAAAATAATAGATAAATATATTCAGTGGTATCATTAATCTGTTTAATAATATTATCCAACTACTAAATCAGCAAACATATTAATTCTGTGAGATAATAAGGGCTCTTATTATCTGGAGGGAAGCCTTATAGTGCAAAATAAATAGACATCAAGTTTTACAGATATTTTCAATAAGGCAGTCATTTCCTCAAACCCAAATCTTCAGTTTAGCTTTAGTTTGCTCTTGTTTCCCCTGCCTCGGCTGTCAGTTTCCTCTCAGTCTGATGGTCTGCATCAGTGACTCTGACTTCTCTCTTCTTAAAAGGAAATCCATCACAGTCCACTTCACTACACTACATGAACCCATACCAGATGAATGCCTATGCCATGGCCCTGAAGGCAGTTGGAGAGATCATCCAGGACTATGACAGTGATAAGATGTTCCCTGCCCTAGGATTCGGTGCTAAGCTGCCCCCTGATTGGAGGGTTTCCCATGAGTTTCCACTGGTGAGTAAACTACGGGATTATTTTAGACACGACGTTGTATTTCGGCATCTGGTTCATTGACTTAATCTGAATCAGTGGGAAGATGATTTTGGCCCTCCCACTGGAGGTGATCCCAGGGAGTGCTCATTTGTGTGTTTATTTTCTACGTGTGGGTAAGCATGTTGAATGTGCAGTGTAGATGTGTGCATTTTGAGATAAAAGCAGCTACATCTCTGACATGCGGAGCTCAGGCTGAATTCCATTTACCTTTTATAGTGCAAATTAGGTTCTGTAAGGCTGACGGCTTCTTAAATCAATTTAGCTTCACTCAGTAATGTGCTCTGGCTGCTGCATAGTACAGCCTAATGAGGACTGTGTCTACAGGGTAATGTCTGCATCACTCCATGTTTCCATTAAAACTTGTGAATTAAGATTCATCTCGGCATATAATTGAAGTCTCTCTTTTTTTCTTGCCATACTCATGTAAGTGGGTTTAAAAGTAAAGTTAAGTCTTGAGTGAAATGTTTCTTATACTGTGTATGTTTGCTTTGGACTGTGCCTTAATGGGCAAGGACGCTAACCTTTGAAGCTAAGTTTGACAAGAACATCTCTGTCGGCTAAAACACTGTTTTCAAAACACCATTCAGCCCTCAACTCCACACCAGTATTTTAGAAGTACCCATGGCACATACAGTTACTGCATCACTATTGTTATATTATTTACAATACTGATTAGCTTTGACCAAATTACAACCTGAAGTTCCTCGACTCTCCATGCACAGTTATAAAGCAAGTGAGTCTTTTGATCTTGTTGTTATTTCTACATTTCCAAACTCCAGAACATGCAAATCTAAAGAGCTATTGGTTTACAGTAAAGAGGGTTGCAAGACTGATCGTAAAAGACATGAAACTAGCAGAAACCTGTGATGCTTCAGTGTCAACATGTTGTCCTGAGGTACAAACTACCAAGTGCATAGACAGAAAACATGCCCACCACTAAAATAACATTCACAAATTTCATATTTGAGATTAGTCCAGGAAATGTATGAAGACAGAGTTTTTTAAAGGTTTTAGAACTGGTGAAATGAGAGTGCCTCTAGATGGATGTGCGCGGCTGGATCACTTACAGTATAGACATCAGACACCACTTCACCACTGGCGCCAGCACAGTGGAGAAGGTTCTGGTATGGACTGTGCTCATTAAGGATGAGCAAGTTGGAGCTTTTATGCAACTCCCAGACCTTCTGCCAGCTATTGGAAGATACCACACAACACTGCAGCATTCAAGAGGGCGATGAATTTTATGTAGGACAATACTCAAGCATCAGAGCAGCTTAAGAGCTCAAGAATGACTGAATAATGACCTAACCTTTTCTTCCTCACATGGCTTAAATCCCACTGATAATTTGCGAACCTGTCTCAGTGGTGAGCTTTACAGACAGTGCAGGGGAGTCTGTTTTCTTCTTCATTAAAAATTGATTGCAAAAAGTGGAATAGCTGTTAGACCGCTGGTTATATTTTAATATTTTTAAAAAGCCTAAATGTTGTTTAATTAAATTTTCTGTTGCATTTGTTAAATTTGTAACACAAAAACTTCCTTAAGCTTTTTCTTTGCTAAATATTTTGATTTGTAGTTGAGTAAAATTGACTGAGAGCACTGCTTTTAAAAAATTAAATAAATGTAGTCCTAAATAAATAATTGTGTCTCTTAGCTGGGCACGCGGTGGATATGGTTCAGTTTGTGGCTATATGATTGGCACAAAACACTACTTTAAATGAAGCTCTGTATGAATATTGGATTCTTTAATGTGTTAACTAATTTTTTTAACTACTTTTGTTTGATTGAGGAAATCTGGCCATCCTGCCCACACAGAAAAAGACATTTTAACCACTACCATTCACAGTTAAAAGTTATGTTGTATTGTTTTAGTCATGAATGGTTTTCATACATGCACCGCTGACCGATGGGACCTGAAATGATCCTTAACCTGCTAGTCCCCTTCACATGAACCTTACTGTACAGCATAAAGATTGCACAATGTTTGATTTCACAGATGTGCAGGTAATGGTCTAGTGAATTGTTCTACTCGAGTAACCCTGGTGTCTAAATCAAAGTAATTTAAGTAGCATCACTCTGATGATTGGTGGCTTAAGCCCTCTTCTTCAGTTTCACCATCATCACACACTCAGCTTATTAAAACACTAGCAGCTCTTGCTGGATGTTTCCTAGAGGTTTTTTTTTAAGCAAGTCGTGTTTTTTAAAAATTATTTATAGTCTGTCTTGATATATTTATGAATTTATGAATTTATTCTTCTTCCTGCTCCTTTTCATGCATGGAAACAGTGTTACTTTAATTGAAAGGAAGGTTGTGTATGGGAATGCATTACTGCTGTACCATGTGTGAAACAAAAAAAAATAAAATAAATTTATATTATATAAATAATTTTATGTCATTTTCTGTGGTGTTACCTTTATGTTAGTAAATCTCTGTAGCAGGGAGGGTAGAAAGTGGTGTCGCTATGTGGTTGCTGCTAAACTTAATACAAATACAGAGCTTTAAAACAGGTTATCACTAGTCTTTCCAGTCTGGTTTGGTCCAACATGCTGCTGCTTATAAGCATAGTGACCTTCCAGCTAGCAAACATACTGGAGTATTTAGCACATCCACTTGTATTCATCTGAAAATCTAATAAATCACTTTAATCACTTTAACAGTTTAACACTTTAACATGAGATTAATTTTAACAGGTTAAATACATTTTTGTTGATTGTTTGACTCTGCCATTGTTGTAGTTTTTGTACCATTTATGTCTTGTTGTTTTTCCTCAGAATGGCAACGTCGACAACCCGTACTGTAATGGTATGGAGGGGATTCTTGAAGCGTACCATCAAAGCCTTAAGACAGTTCAGCTGTATGGACCCACCAACTTTGCTCCTGTTGTTAATCATGTGGCAAGGTACCAACGCAAACATCTGTCCCAGTGGATATATGACAGAGTGCAGTCGCCCTTTCTTTGAAAGTCAGTCTGTAAATAATCTTCAGCAGGCAGCCATGCCATCAGAGGCATTAGGACAGTGAGTGATGGTTTCTCTGTGAATTGAGTAGAAATAATGAAGGGAAAATAAACAATCAGCTGCCAGGCTAAGACAAATAGAAATGGTAATCAGGGATTTGTGGTGCCAGACGTTTATTTTGCAGACATATAACGTGATGAACGTGGCGAGGTAAGGCGGCGTCTCTGGGAGGGAACTTGTAAATGGTCATGCAGCCTTTCGTGACATGTATCGATGAGCCACGCTAGTCACTTAATGAGTTTTACTGTAAATGAGGCATGGCATTAATTCACCATTACAAACTCCTTGTCACTGCAAATAGAGTAAGTGCACAAAGTGAATTAAAAAGCTGTGCCTACAAACCGACAGCAGTACATTAAACACACAGAAGACATAATGTGCTGTTTGCGGCTAAAAACTGTTGTGATATTACTATATTAAGTCCCATGTATATAACGTGTCCCTGTGACCTGTGTTTCAAGTGTATTTGTTAATATTTTCCCCATAAAGATTAATCTTGTAGTAGAATAATAGAGCTTATGCAAAAAGATTTATTCAATAAAACGACGCGCAAAATTTAAACTAACAAAATGTAACATATATATAGATATATATAGATATATATGCCCTGCCCACCCCCTACAGCTGACAGAAGGTTAAAGGATGTCATATCCATCCTTACGTAATTACAAACTATTATGGTGCTAAAATAGAGCTTTTTCCTATCTGCTAGTAAGTAGATCATCTGTATTTAATCAAAAAGATAAATCAAAATACAAATGTGATCAATATATTAACAGAGAAATGTAGTCTGAGTAGTGAAAATGTGTAACTTGTTTTCATCTGAAGGGCTTTTATGTCACTTTTTGTTTCAGTATTAGTTTTGCAGGTTTCATGTAGATAATATTTGCTTTTCTCTATCTCTTACTGATTTGTATAATAACAGTTATAAACTGTGAAGAATCCTTTTCCCCAGTGATGTTGTAGAGTGGGAGGAGCTATTTCAAGCCTGGAATCATCCAGTCTTAGAGCTTAAAATCCTGTTATATGCCTCACTAACAACTGGCAGAAGCTAAAGATTAGGGTGTTGAGATAACTGAAAGCACAAACTGCAGCTTAAATTAATTTAATTTAAAACGCACCAAAGAAAACATTCCCCTGCAGACCTTTATGCATAATGTCAATGAATAAAAAAAAAAGAATAAATAAAAGTCTCAGAAGGATGTCCAATTTAAAACTGATGAAAAGATAACTATTTGCATAACCAGGAAATGATCTTAACAATGCAGTTCATTTGAGTAGTTGTGTTTAATGTGCATGTTCAACTTTTCCATCCACCACAAGAAGAAAGCTGATAAATTATTGAAGTCAGGAAATGTTGATAAAAGGGGGAAAGATGTTCATGCATGATGCATAATGTATAGTAAATGTACGATGTTGAGTTGTTAATGTTTTAGCCAGTTTAAGGATCTCATCTGTGTAGGAATCTACAAATTGAGTTTGACTCTGCTGTTAGTACTCTGCTAATACGCTCAACAGTCTCCAGTGAGTGTGGCCTACATTGTTGTAAGTCAGCTAAGGAAGACAAATGCCACTTTAATCCCCTAAACAGCAGCCATCGCTTTTGCTGTTGTCACAGACAGGGCACGCTCTTTGATTAAACTGTCGGTGCCTCACAGTCAATTTGACCAAGCAGGATGCAAAGAGTGAAGCTTCACCTCTGACCTGTCCTTGGCTCTTGCAATGATCTGCCACATTTCTCCCTCTTTTTTTGCTCATCAAGTCTAGTAAGATGAATGCAAGGCAATCAATAATGTTCCAGAAGAATAAGACTGCTGCACTTGCATAAACAGTTTAATAAATTATTCATAGAGCAGCCAGCGATGGGCGATTGAATCTAGGCCACACTCACTGTGGTGTCTCTGATGGGTTTCGTAAGAGTATCTAGATAGACCTCTGAGACGTGAAGAGCTATACAACATATTTTTCTTCTTTACGTGTCTATATTAAGCTCTTGTGTCACACACTGTGCGGAGAGAGTTTGTTTCTGAGGAATATATTTTTTAATGTATTTTTTATCTCTCACACAGTTGTTTTCTGCTCCTCTAAGAGTTTCTCTCTGGTTGCTCCTGCATGCGCGCTTTTCATAACTTTTTTTTTTTCTCTAACATGAGCTGTTGTGCTTAAATCATTCTGTCACAGTCAGTTTCACGATCGTGGCTCAAGAGTTGGGAGTTCGCCTTGTAATCGGAAGGTTGCCGGTTCGAGCCCCGGCTTGGACAGTCTCGGTCGTTGTGTCCTTGGGACAAGACACTTCACCCGTTGCCTACTGGTGCCCCAGGGTGGCTGTGGCTACAACACATTCACACACTTGTCATCACCAGTGTGTGAATGGGTGGATGACTGGTTGTGTAAAGCGCTTTGGGGTCCTTAGGGGCTACTAAAGCGCTATACAAATACAGGCCATTTACCACTTACCATTTTTTGCACCCAGGTATGCAGCAGCAGTGCAGGACGGATCTCAGTACTTTGTCCTGCTCATCATCACTGATGGAGTGATTTCGGACATGGCTCAGACCAAGGAGGCCATAGTGAATGTAAGTGCTGATTTAACACTAGCCTGAGGATATTAACCTCTCTCTCTCCATTCTCCTCCACTCTGCAGGACATTGGTTTTGCAGGTGCTTTAAGCTTACTGTGGCACTGTTCTCAGGCTTTCTGTTACTTTGAGGGTTTATAAGCCAGTAGCACTGGATTTGAGGATTTATGGGATGTTTTCTACCCCACTTCTTAGAGGCTCAGTTTGTCCAATATTTTTATTTCTTTCTGAGACCCTCAAGAGGCTTAGAGGCTCAGCTGAGATTCAACCTCTGTGCTACAGATGCATTGTCTGATCTGAGATCTGAGGCAACAGTGTTGCCAATTTTTTTTAAAGTTTCATGGTGTTTGTTTTGTCCCATACTGCCTGCTGCATATTTCATGTGTCTTGACAACACTGCAGCTCACCTTTGGCTGGAATCTGCCCGCAGAGGTAAGGCTGACGATCAGTCATCGTCGAGCGGGTAGAGCCTCACAGGAACACAGTGTTCAGACCCCCAGCAGACTGGGTTTAAAGGGAATTTGCGACTGTTAATCAAACCATTCGAACAGCCACACCTTCCTTTTAAGATCTTGTCTGCTGCTCTGCGCTCTGCTCAACCTCAACCTGCCACATCCTGCAGCCACTGGACCTGACTTCGCTCTCTTTGGATAGAAGAGCTTCATTAGGTATTCAGCCTTTGCCCTGGAACGATGAATCATAAACAAGTAACTGTGTCCAACACTCAGCTCTGCATTTTTTTTTCTTTCTTCCAGGCTGTGCTCTGTCATGAGAGCTAATTTAAAATACTGTACAGAGCAAATATTGACTGGTAATTTTACTGCTAATGGCCACACTTTATGGTACTGTATTTTAAACAGCTTAGCCTTCAGGGATTGATATCCACTTATCTGACAGAACAGCCTCAGAGGTAAATACAGTCTGCAACTCTTTTCCTTTGATGTTTTTCCTTGAAACTGAAAATTTCATTTTAATAAAATTGTAAAGCAGAGCCTGCTTTTAGCCCGAGAGGAACAGACATAAATTAATTTGTATGCGAAATTTAGATTTTATCTGCAGTTGTCACTTTGCTGTTTGGGTGAGACTGACTCAGGAACCTCATAAAACTGTGGATATTTTCCTGTTAGGGAGCTTAATTTGGGTCTTCATCTTCGAGCTTCGGTGAGATGGAGCAACCTGACACAGAATACGTAACAGTGTTGGTACAGAATCAAATGAAAGCTACTGCAGAGGCAATGTACATATTTAGATTTTGTGGTAAAAGTTTTGTGAAGAATGAAATTCATGGGCATGACTGAAACATGGTGGTGCCATTCTTCCTGTCCCAAAATATTTCTGTAGTCCTTTAATATTAAATGAAACTGCTGATATCAGAGCGAATATCTGCTGAGTCCCTTTAGATTTGTTGTGGTTCTCTGCAGTGAAAGTGAAGCATCAGAAAAACTGGAGGAGTGACACTTTACAGTACACGCAAAGTAACAAATGGTGTAAACTGAATAATGCAGCTCAAGCAACAGTATCAGCTCTGGCAAGTATATACCTGAGGGTTTTGGTCTGCTGGAAACTGGGAAAATAGAATATATAGGCTATTTTGTGCGAGAGCAAGAGGTCATGAGGAATAACACTAGTGGAGAAAAGAAATAAATCGGGAATAGAGACTGAGGGAGAAAAACGATAGAGACCATGAGAGGGGAGGTCCTCCTCAGTCTATTTACTCCTATCTGTGACAGGCCTCTCCCCTTGAGAGGTTTTTCCAGGAAAGCTGACCTACTTTTGCCCCTGTGAATGCATTTCTACCACAAGCATATATCATTCATTCATTCGTGCCAGGGCTTTCACGTTCTGCACACCAATGCCATGGTCTGAATTTATGCAGTGCAGTAACCTCTACACCACAAACCGTTGAGAAGATGCCCCCTTTTATCTTGTAGATTTATGATTTGTTTTGACTGTCGTTTAAATAGACACAACATGCGGCCCTTTTTTGTTCTGATGTTAAAGGCATTTGAATCATTTCTATAAGCAAACTTGAATAAATGGTTTTATACTGAGTGGTGTTTGCAGGATTTCTGCAAACTAACTGCAAGAGCATTGCATAACCTTATGTTATCTTTACTATGAGATTGTGAATGTGTGTGGTTAGCTAACAAATTCTGTGCGTGCTGACAGTTGTATCCACCTTGAAGGCCCTGGTTTGAATAATGCATTTTGCGTTTTCCCTTGGCTCCTTTGGGAACAAAACTATACAACACAATGTGATGTGTAACATAGTCAAGACAACGTTCTTATGCTATTTCTAATTTATATTTGTCTTATTTTATCTTACCCATTATCATTTATGTCTTCTCTGGGGAATTGTGCATGTCGGTTCATACTGACTGTTTTAATGAGATGTGTGTTGGTGGATAAATAAACGTAATTGGAAATGTAACCCTTTCATGCTCTGCGAAAAACTTTGATGGCTTTGGTTCTTTTTTGTTTTTTTGAAAGAAAATATTGTATTCCTGGCATGTGACTGACAACTGACTGTCTCTTCTTCTTGTTTATGACAGGCAGCCAAACTCCCCATGTCTATCATCATTGTTGGAGTTGGCCAGGCTGAGTTTGATGGTGAGAATACTAACTACACACAAAATATGTGGAAAGCACTTTGTTGCCTCTTCGGATTAGGGATGGTTTGTTTTATTAAACCAGCTCAGACTTTCTGCAAAGAATAATAAATATTGTAAATGACTTCACAGTATGAAGACATATTTGCTCTGGAAAGTTTCATGATGAACTAAAAAAAAGAGTGTATACATAATTTTGATGCTGAGGTATACTAGAGATTTGTTTAAAAATCCATTTTTGTTCTCTGTAGCAATGGTTGAGCTGGATGGTGATGATGTCAGAATCTCCTCACGGGGGAAGGTGGCAGAGAGAGACATTGTACAGGTGAGACGTCTCGGCTCGTCACGGGAAGGAACAGCTCATTTTCTATAGGCATAAAAACATTAGGCAACAGCAACCTTATTTTTTGTTTTTTGTTTTTTATTCCAGTGCAAAATATCTCTTAAAGTATGGCATACATTTTTCAATTTCAATCATATCGGTGATCTCTTTATCTTCCAGCTGCTTTATTCATACATACACTCAGCATTTGTTTATGCACAGATGCAGGTACCGCTGCAGCATTTCAGTCAGGCTGAGTTCTGGACTTTGACTGGGTCATTGCTACATCTGGATTCTTTTCTTTTTTAGCTATTCTGTTTATATTTGCTACTGTGATTGGGATCGTTGTCCTGTTGCATCACCTAGTTTTAGCCAGGTTTCATACTTTGGACAGATACCCTACATTTGAATATTTTGGTAGGAGTTCACGGTTCACTCATTGGTGCCCAGGTCCTATGGCTGCAAAACAAGCCTAAATTACCACAGTGCTCGACAGCTGGTATGAGGTTTTGCGCTGAAATGCTGTGATTGATTTTGTCCAGATGTGGTGTTGTGCATTATGGTCTCATCTCTCATTGTTACAGCACTTTTGTGATTTTTTCAGATGCAACACTTTCTCCTGGAAACCCTTCCAAACAAGCCATACTTATTCAGTCTTTTCATATTGTACTGTCATGAACATTAATGTTTAATATGCTAACTGAAGTCTGTAGAGTCTGAATCATAGTTCTTGGGGGGGTTTGCAATTTGTCAGAGTATTGCACAGTCTGAGCTTGAGGTGAATTTGCTGGGAATGTGTTAAAACACATGTGAATGCTTTAAACCAGCAACTTGCCAAAAAGTCTTCTTTAATAGAGGTGCTCACACTGGCTGAGGATCATTTTAAGTGCATTTGATTAGCAGCACCTCGGTGCTCCTTAAGCTTAGTCTTAACTCCCATGGAAGCAATAAGGGTGTCTTTCACAGCACATCTTATAGTTGTGAGAAAACCTGATTTTTTTCCACGTGACTGTATGCACATCAATCTACCACTGTGGAGTCTTGCAATAACAGGACCATAAACTTAGCACAAAATTGTTTGCAGAATTTATAAATTAACCGAAAACTAAATAAATTTTCTTATAGACCTACATGGCTTATAAAATTCTCTCTGTAATCAGAGGAGTCGCCCCTTTCTGGACATTACAAAGAATTTTCAAACCTTGGTGTTCCTTTGAGTCATCATTTCAGTGAACCAGCCAGGAAACCAGGAAAACAATGCCAGTTTGATTCGGGGATTTTTAAAAGTAATGTGTTTCTTTCTCATGTCACAACAGTTTGTACCATTCAGAGACTACATGGACCGCACAGGTAACCATGTGCTGAGCATGGCTCGACTGGCTAAAGACGTACTGGCTGAGATCCCTGACCAACTGATCTCCTACATGAAGAGCAGAGCCATTAAACCCAACCCTGTGCCAGTGTATTCGCCCAGTGATGAGCCGCCGACCAACCCCGTGTGAGCCCCTCCCCGCCCACACACACAAAGCTCTGCGTCAGGCAGAGCAAGGTTGAGATTGATGGGAACCCGTCTCCACCAACACTTCTTTGAAGCAAAAATGCTTTTGAGGCCCTTCCGTAAATATTAATCCAGCGTAACACAAAGATGATGAGACTCCATTGTGGTTTGGAGCAGTGAGACTGCAGAGGGGAACCTGCTATGATGAGGGAGCTTACTCTCTGAGTGCTTGAGGACCGGAGCGCTGAGAGACCGGTATGAAAGGAGCTTTCAGTTGTTCACTGTCTAACCTGACAAAATAGTGATGTAATGGATAGCAAGTGAGCCCATAAAGAGGGCCTGTTTGAAGGCATAAATATATTAGGATGTGCCAGTGTGTATCATGCTTGTGATACCTTTTGGAATCAATGTGTGTAAACTAGGAAATCATGTGTATAATAATTTATTTATTTATTGCAGGAATGATCTGTTCATTTTAGGGGGTTTTAAAGGGTGGGGTATTAAAGTCATATTTCCCCAGAAGTTTTCCACCTTATATTTTGTGACCAGTATAATAAAAACGACCCCCATTTCTACTTTGATAAGGACTGTAATATAAGAGCATGTGACAAAACCCATTCAGCAGTTTATTAATCATGTTCACCTATGAATAATCTTTAATTGCAAGCTATAAAGTAGAGCACCTCCTGCGAGCTGTTGCTATATAGATATTTTAGCACCATGTCTTATACATCTTTCTTATATTTATATTTACAGAATGCACTAAATATTGTCCAAATAAAAAGCACAAAGGCAATAGTGGTGATAAGCTAAAAAAAAACAACTCTTATTTTGAAAGGACTAGCCACAATGACAATAATGGAAAGGGCCCTGAATTATGTTTTTGACACTGTCTTTTTTATTTTAAAAAGGATTATCACTACTATTATACTGATATTTAAATTAACTTGTATCTATCATAAAAACAAGCACATACTCACTTTTCCATGTAGTATGCAAGGAAACGTAGATAAAACTATTCTCATGCTGCCATCATTTTCCATCTTGCTGCTTCTCTCCATTATGTTTGCTGTGGTGACAGTTTAATATCTGAGATTTAGTTCAGTATTTTTAAAGGAGACTTCAAATACGATATACTTTTGAAAGACTGATGTCAACTAACAGCCATTTTTCTCCTCATTAAATTTGATTTGTTTGATTTTCCCCAGAATGAAGATTGAACAATCATAAATCTTGCAACAGAGTAAAAAATATATTTAGGCACTGAGTGTTTTTTTTAAGTGACTGCGCAAAACAAAAACAGACCTTTTTTTTTAATTCCATCCTGTCTGCTGTCTTCTGTCTCTCGACTGTTCTCAAATCATTTTGTTTTATACTAATGCACAATGGCCCATTTTTATAACTCATCGGGATGCTATTTAAATGCTTAAAAACACAATTGCACAATTCTGTTTTAAGATTTAGTTTAAGCTTGTTAATATATCTATACATATCTATATCTATAGATATAGATATATATATGGCGATCTTTATGGCGACTGTGTATAAATTGTGTAAAAAAAAAAAAAAAGATAGTTGTGGCCCAGTTGTGTACATCAAGTTATCCATATATAATGGCCATTTTCACATAGTCACTCAATATCTTGATCCAGATGTGCCTATTTATATGGAAACATATCCAAATTTAGTTACCCAGGTGTGATTCTGCCAGCATGTTTTAAGATGTACACACAGAAAATGTTGGAGATGATAAAACACTTGTGAGATTAGGACTATTTCAGCCAAAGGAGCTGGTACACACTGTCTCCGCCACTGCTCTGCACTTTTTTATACTTACAGCTCTTCACTAAGAATCTTTGAAGTAATAAATGCTACCAGTGTCATCGAGCCTTGTTGTACAATATTCAAAGTCAAGACTTGTTTACAATTCAGCTGTGGCATTTACATGGCCTCAAGGAAAAAGTAAACATTCATGGGTTTTATTAAGAAATTCCTTTCTGTTTTGTTAGCACATTATTCAGTGTTTCAAAATGATTTCACTCAATGAAACTGGAGAACTAACGTTTACAAAGATTTTTTTTTGTGTTGTTCTCTGTGAATGTGAATCTCGGTTGTGTTTGCTTTTGTGTTCGGAGTTAAATGTGTTTGCATAATTCATGTTGCTTTAGAGTTAGAGTTGCTTTGTTTGTTGTTCTTTGACTCCCATGGCTGTGTTGCTCTCAGAGAGCAGAAAGAGTCTGATGATACTGCAGAAAGTCAGTCCTGAGGTGCTGAACTCCTTCTGTCATGAGTCCAGCCCCATATTTGGGTTTCTTTCCTTTACATTTTTTCATTAGTGATGACATTTCCCTCTCAGAAGACAAAGCAGGGTTTAATCTGCTGACCGATTTCTTGGTTCATCACATTTCAAATTAGGCTGAGTTACATAATGGTCAAAAATACCAGTATGCCTCTACAGAAAGCTATTTAACAAGATGATAAAAAAAAATCTATAAAAAACGGAAAATGTCCTGATAAGTCTTTTTTTTTTCTTTTACAGAAGTTTATGGGCATTTATGGAAGCCCGTTTCCGCCACTAAAAAAAAAAAAAAAGCTAATTATCCATAACTCGAAATTTCGAGTTATTTTCTCAAAATTTTGAGTTAATATGTCGAAATTTCGAGAAAATAACTCGAAATTTCGAGAAAATAACTCGAAATTTTGAGTTATGGATCCTTTTTTTTTTTTTAGTGGCGGAAACGGGCTTCCATAGCATTTCTATAAATGTCAAATGATAAAATTCAGTGTATGGTTGAAAAAATGGGAAAACAACCCCCCAAAATGAATACGGATATTCTTTGTTTTAAAATGCTACATACTGTACTGTATTTTTCAGTCAATCTAAGGGAAACAATTTGTACTGAACACATTTATCATAAGATGAAGTATGAACTCAATAACTTATAAATATAAGTAATATAAATATATGCAGGCCTGCACTGCTTTTTGAAATGCTTCATTCAGTATTTAATGATGACTCAAAAACATTGTACGTGACACACAAAACAAACGCTAAACAAGGACAACCATCGCATTTGCAGGGGGACAATGAAAAAAGCATAATGTGAAAATCCAAAGAATTGGGATTTGTAATAAACCTTTAAAAACATTAGAAATGCTTTATGTATGACGATGTTCTTCCAAAGTTTCTTTCAGATTGTCCCACTCATTAAGGAGGGAATAGGATACGTGCAAACATAATACATACATATACTGTGCTCGTTAAACCTGAAACGCATGCAAATTTCCAAACTTTGTCTGTGGAGTTTTAAATAATAATTTAAAAAAAGTAGCACTACTGTTTTTCTGAGATGATAATAACAATTTCCCCCAGTGAAATCAGAAACTTCAATCCTTAGTAATATAGGAAAAAAAGCTAAATAATCAATAACACCTCTGACACCTCTGAATTTTATTGCTCAGTATAAATGATGTCTTTTGCAGCAACAGAATTATTCCGTTTCTCTTGGTGGAAATGGCTTTGTTTCTTTTTTCCACTTCCTTTCAAATTCTGTTTGAGGCTGAACTCTAATTATGTACATAGGCCCCGCATAAAGAACATTCAGTGCCAACGTGTGTTCAGTAGTTGAACTTGGCCTCTTTAGAAAATGTGCATGTTTGTGCCAAAGTGGCAGGAAGTTTGGTAGTTTGCCATCATTTCACCTGATTAGTGCATCTGCCAGTGCGTCATTATCGTTACTTAGGATGTATTTGGAGATAAACGGCCCCATCCAGCATGTTGAATCTATTGTTTCTTTCATTCTGTTCCTATGAGACACATACTGTATGGGTTCTTCTTGCCACTACTCCTGTTTTATCCCAGGTTGTTTACATACCTCTCTTGGTCTTTGACTTGCATGCTGAATATTTCCAAACCAGGTGTTGGACATGATATTGTCGTCATACTGTGGTTTGTGAAATGCTTTGTAATGGATTGCCTTAAGATGAATAAAATATTGACAACTTTGGCAGAATACCAGTTGGATTTTTAATGAATGAATGAGAAATTCTTTATTATTTAATTTATATTTGATTTTTTTTTCTAGATGAAATAATAACAATAATAACATCTGGCAGAGACTCTCTTCCAGACAGATTAAAGATGGTGATGAGCATGCGGTGTGAAAGATGCCTTGTATCTCTCCTTGTGGCAGTGGATCCAAATAAGAGATTTCAAATGAGAGATTATTTGAGTAACTGCTCTGCTGCCTGTCTAAGCGGTGCAGAGAGGTGGTCAGGATTATACATGATTGATAACAGTTTGTTCAATGACCTCCTCTCTACCACAACTTCAAAAGTGTGCAGTTTGCAGCCAGTCACAGACCCAGCCTTCCTGATCAGTTTATTCATTCTGTTGGTGTCTCCAGCGCCGATGCTGCTCCCCCATCAAAGTTCACTGTGCTTGCCACAAATGAGTGATAGAAAATCTCCATTATTTTGCTGCACACAGAAAAAGTAGCGCCTGTTCATCTCCTTTTTCTTTACAGCCTCTGTGTTAGTCTTCTGGTTCGGCCTGTTGTCAGTGTTGATGCCCAGATCAACCATTTCAAGGACAGAAGTCACACAGCCGTCTTCTTTCTTCTGAAGTCAATTACAATCCCTCCGTTCTTATTCACATTCAGAAGCAGATGATTTCTCCTAGACCACACCCCACAAAATCATCCACTAGTGCTTTATACTTCTGACCCTGCTCATCACTAATACAGCCAACCGCTACAGAGACGTCAGAGTATTTCTGTAGGTATCGTAACACCGATTTGGAAGGAAGACAGCACAGTTCTCATGCCTCACTCGAATAACTTGCACAGTGCAATAACTATTGCCAGTAAGTTGTGAACATAAATTGATATGCAGTCTAATGCTTTGAGCGAGGACTTTATAAACAGTTTGTTCATGACAGCTAAGTCCAGTATTCAATCTTTCAAAGTTATGTTTTCGTATACCTCAAAACCATTGGCAGACATGCCTGGAGGCCTAATGTTTTCCTGGATGTCAGCATGTAACTGTGACAAAACATTCACTTGGCCTCAAGGATGGACTGATTAGATTTTGGCTGTGAAAGTAACATTTATTTGAAGACAGTGTATGGAGAGAATTTGATCCCATCTGGTGCACACGCTTATTTGGACTCAAGGATGAACTGATTAGAATTTGATAAGGAAAGCAGTAGAAGGTCACTGTGATCTCACAAATATGCTTTTGGTAGCAACTCTTAAATAAATGTTAAATATGCAGATATTTTAACACTAATGTCTAATACAGGGATTAGTAAACTTTACTATCAGTAGAGACATGTATGACTTTTTATTTAAGCTGTTGGTGAAATGTTTGTTTTGTCAAAAAAAATGTAACAAAAGAATTTACCAACTTTGAGAGAAAGTATATTTGATCCTCTTTCATTTTAATTACGGTTACAAGGTATATTAAGTATAACTGAGCCTATCAACTTTGCTAATAGATGTAACATTACTCTACAGTGGAGTATTAATGATTATTTAGCACTTCAGCTTTGCAGTTTTATTACAATGCCATTAACACCATGCTGTTGCTAAATATATAGAATCAGAGAGTGTCGATAGCTAAAACGGTTTTCTTCTTCTTCTTATTACTAAACAAAATTGAGCAATCGTGAAGTGGCATGCAGCTTTATAGCTACTTTGAGTCCTACATGCATTCTTATAAATCAAACAAATAAAAAGCTTCAAATATAACAAGGGTAATGAAAAAAATAAAGGTTTTATTTTGGCTA